CCTCGCCTGCCCTGGCAGCCCCCAGGGTCAGCTCCTCATACTCCTTGGAATGAAAGGTTTCCCTTATTAAATAAATAAATAAATAGAATCACAGAGGAGTCCTGGCTGCCTCTTGGAAGCTGCATTTAAGTTATTTCATCCCGGCCCCGGGGGACAGCCCTGTGCTGCTGCAGCACCGTGACTCAGGCTGCCACAGCCTATTGATTCTGAAGTGCAGATTGCTCCATCCCTGAGGAAGGCTCCATGCACGAGGGCTGGGCAGCCAGAGGCCAGCAGGTGCGTGGGCCACGGGGACAGCATCCCCCAAAAAGTGCCCTGGGATTTGGGGAATGGCTTGTGATGGGCACCAGGGCACCCAGCTGTGGGTTGCCAGCTGTGATGGGAAGGGGTGTCCAGCTCTGGTGGACAGTTGTTATCCAGCTGTTGTGGGCACTGAGGTATCCAGCTGTGATGGGCAGCTGGTACCTAGCTGTGGTGGGCACTGGCTGTCCAGCTGGTGGGTGTCCAGCTGTGATGGGCACTGGCACACCCAGCTGTGGATGTACAGATGTGATGGGGTGTCCAGATATGATTGGAATGAGTGTCCAGCTGTGTTTGGTACTGTGGTGTCCAGTTGTGGTGAGCAGTGTGTCCAGCTGTGATGGGTGTCCAGTTGTGGTGCACACTGGCTTGTCTTGCTGTGGTGGGCAGTTGTTATCCAGCTGTGATGGGCACTGGCCGTCCAGCTGGTGGGTGTCCCGCTGTGATGGGCACTGGGGTATCCAGCTGTGCTAGGCAGTAGTTATCCAGCTGTGAACACAGGGCTGCAATGGATCCTGCCATCTCTTTGCCCCAGGCCATCCCTTCCCACATGGCCCAGCAGCCCTGGAGCTTCCCGGTGCATTATTTATACAGTCAGAATCGATCAGAAGATGATAACGGCTTCATTAGCATCAGAACATCGCGCCGGCCTCGGCGCTTGACATGACCTTGGCTGCAGGAGTTACGAGCCTTTCCCTGTCTGACAGCAGCGAGAACGGGCTCCCCGGCGTCCCCATCCTCACCAGGGCTGCTCCAGCCACCTCTGTGGGGTCCCCACGCCGTGGACCCTGTCCCCGCTGTGAGGAATAAGCCCCGTGCTGCCAGGGCTCCGCGTGCAGCGAGCCCTTGCGGTGCCGTTGTTTGCGTGGCACTCGTCAGCAGGGATATAATTAAGAGCAGCTATTTTGGATGCTTCCTTTATCCGGCAGCTCACGGCGATGCCGCTGCAGGGCCCTCCCCTCCTCCCCCGAAAGAGGCGCTGGGCTTTGTTGTGAATGTTTTCCCCGGGGCTACTCGGTGTCATCCAGCCTGTGGGGGCCGGGGGG